ATCCATTGTTGATCTGCACACAGCTGTTGTCACGAACGTCGCACTTGCTTACGTCACTGTCATGAGACATTCTCGCAAAAAAAATCACGGTTTACAAGTAACGCGTTACTGCCCATCTCTGAGTAAGATGCACCTCACTGCCTAACTTTAGTTAAAGGTAAAACTAGATTGAAGTAAGATTCAGTAAGATCACCACGAGGGGCATCGAAGCAGAGCCACAGATTCACTGCAGGGGTCAAGACTGCAGGTTTTTCCTTTAATTTGTCACTCGTCTTGTAACTGAAGAAACAGGCTGTTGCACAACAGCAGCAGAACCAAGGCAGCCAATCACAGTGCAGATGCTTAACAGTAGGATTTGTGTGTGTGGGGGTGAGGTGGAGTTGGAAGGGTGGAGGTTGTGTAATGGGAAAAGGATTTAAAGGAGCTGCTGAGGAAAACAGGAGTAGGAGACGGGAAGGTCTGAAGCACAGAACGACGAGAGCCGGCGCTTTGTCAGGTGCAGGTAGAGGAGGTGTGGCTACAATGACACTCCTCCCCCTCCTCCTCACCTTTACCTTCTGCTTCCTGCTGCATCTGTGGGCCAACCTCAACCTGGCTATCCTACTCGTTACAGGACGAGCCGACCACGGGTATGGACCCCAAGGCCCGCCGAGCCCTCTGGAACTGCATCCACAGCGTCATCAAGCAGGGCCGCTCCGTCGTCCTCACCTCGCACAGGTAAACACGAGGACAGGCGGATGGTTTCATGGTTAATGCGTCCTCATAGTGGGTCTGTCAGTCCCTCGGTTTAGTTGGTAGAGATTTTGAAAGGTTGAGACATGTTTTTACCATATCTGTAGAACATTTTTTGGCACCTTTATATTTCCAGATCAGATTTAGCTTTATTGATTCCAAAATTGCTCGCTGACATCAGTAACTAACCCTTTGGCTGGTGATAAAAACAGTAATAGATATCTACAAGCACAGCCAAACATTTAAATGTTGAACAGTCATCGTGACACCAGCTGGCGTCCCCTCTGCATGTGCTTATTAAAGCGGCTGTGTGTGTTTCAGCATGGAGGAATGTGAGGCTCTGTGCACGAGGATGGCGATCATGGTGAACGGCAGGTTCAGATGTCTCGGCAGCGTCCAGCACCTGAAGAACAGGTAGCGCTCACAGACACACGACAGCAGCTACACTTAAACACATTCATCCTCCAAATCCAGCTTTTTAAATCGATCGGTCAGAGAAGTTTGTGCTCAGAGGTTCAGGATACTGAAGAGCCTCTAATGTGAGTTTATTTTAAATGAGTATCTTCAGTGTTGAACTCCCGGTTTTGTGCCTCAGGTTTGGCGATGGGTACACCATCATCCTGCGGGTGGCGGGGCCGAACCCCGACCTGCTGCCCGTCATGAAGTTCATTGAAAGCGAGCTGAGCGGCAGCACGCTGAAGGAGAAGCACCGGAACATGCTGCAGTACCAGCTGCCGTCCTCGCTCACCTCGCTCGCTCACATCTTCTCCATCCTGGCCAAAAATAAAGAGACGCTGAGAATCGAGGACTACTCCGTCACTCAGACCACGCTGGACCAGGTAGAGACTCGCACGCACCTAAGACGGTACTAAGGGGGTGTGGCCTGCAGAGGCTCTGACTGATGTTTGTACTTTCAGGTGTTTGTAAACTTCGCGAAGGACCAGAGCGACGACTATCACTCCAAAGACAACTCTGTGAGGCGGAAGGACGTCGTCGTCATCGACCTCCCGGTACTGAGCTCGACCAGCGGAGCCTCGCATGATGGTGGCGGGCTGTCGGAGAGCGTCATGTGACCGCACTGTGAGGCTGAAGCTTCAGCCTGGACTTGACCCGCAGCAGAGAAGACACCTTCCTCTTCTCTGATGTCACACTGATTTAAAAAAAAAAATGGCAGTGGGTGGAGTCACCTGCTGCCTTATGCCAGTCAATGCAAATGATTTCCTCTGGAGGCGGGGAGCGCTTTGCCGACAGCGCCGACTTAAACACTTGAACGAGTGCCTTCAGACCTCCCGCGGCTCCGAGACTCTTCTTCTCTTCCTGATTGAAGGCGAAGAACGCGAGCGACTGTTTTTGGTGACAAACGATGAAGAATCTGAATCATTTCGAACAGCCAAGGGCTGTTTGAAGAAATAAAATCACACGTTTAAAAAAACAAAACAAAACAAAAAAACATTTGATTCCGTTTCTACTGTCAGACTTTATTTATATGTGTAGTGAAAAGAGACATGTGTAATTTGTTGTTTTATTTTGACAGAGTCATTAACTGTTTCCTGTAGTGTTTAACTGCCAATCAAAGCACCTGATACAGAGGAGACATGTACTGATTTTTATAGTTTTGTTTTTTAAAGAAAGGATACTAAGAAAAGCCGATTTGTGAGTTTGGGTGTGAAACAGTGAAATACCTCATCAGCTTCTGAAGCACACTACAGTATTGATGAGCAGCCTTGCTGATCGATCGGCGCTCTGATTGGTCGGCGAGCTGCTAAAGGTGACTCTCTGTGACTGCAGCACTTGAAGTGTTCAAACACCATCAGTTTGTCTTTGCACTGAAATCAAACTTGATCACGTTTATTGACCGTGCGGCTGATGGATGAAGAGCTGTTACGACCCGAACAACCAGGATTAAACTGAAACAAATCTCCTGCCTCCACCGGCTCTTTACTTCGCTCTGACACACACACACACTCCTCTCTTAGGTTTTTTTAAATCACTAACAGTAAAAAATAAATTCAGGTTTGGAAAAGTTGGAAAAGTTCAGTTTAAAAAGCAGAATCAGTTTCTTTCTGACACTGAATCTCACCCAGCAATTCTGAACACCACCTCTGTGAGGTATTTTGACCATGTCCCTACAGGTAGGAGGCTTCTGAACACCTCCCTATCCCCACAGATGACTGGGAGGTGGTGTGTGGGGAGAGGGCAGTTAGGACGTCTCTGTTTAGACTGCTGGCCCCACTGATCTGTACCTGGATAACCGGCAGGAAGATGGATGGATGGATCCTGATGAATCTCCTCAGACCTCTCATATACGCTCATGACTAAAAAATGTTTGTGGAAACAAAATTTGTGCCACTATGTTCTTTATTATTATTATTTTTTACATGTTTCTATGCTGTAGTGAAGAACAATCGTGAGCATTTCATGTTTCAAAGGCTTTTATTAGCAAATAAATCAAATTTCAAGCAAAGACTCTTCTTCTGCTGCAGTTCTCTGTGACGTGCTGGCTATCAGTGCTGATCAGTTTGCAGGTTTCTGCTTGTCCACCCACTTTTTAAGGAAGAACCAAGTAATGTTACTGTTCATAATCCATGTGGCCAAAGGTTAAAGGCCCTGAGGCGGACATGCATAAAAATAAAGTCTAAACTGTAAAGACAGAATTCAGATTTACACACAGTTTGAAGTTTTTGTGTGAAAGAAAAGAAAACATGTTAAAACCAAGAAATCTTCAAATTCTAGAAATCTTAAGTTTTCTTCTTTATTTTGAATGAGATGCTTTCCCACTGGGTTAAATAAGCTTTTAGGGTCATTTCATCAGAATCAGCTGATTTTACCTGAATACTAGTAAAACTGCTATTACAGGAGAGCATCCATAGCTCACATCGCCCCCTGAAGGCTAAAGGCTGCATTAAAACTTTGATGTTTGTATTACCACACGATGCCACCAACCTGTTATGGCGTCTCTGTGTCTTTTCATATAATATATTACTCCATGTTTTTTTTTTCCAAGGTCAGCTTTGACCTTGGATCCCAACAATGAAGATCAAATGCTTAGCCAACCTTGGTACTCGTGCCCCCCATGGCCTTTGTGTATTGATATAAAGTTTGAAGACTATGTATAAAAATTGTGGGAAGTAGAACGTTTCTACTGATTTTCACAGTTGCTGTGACCTTGACCCGCGACCATCACACAAAATTTAAAAATGAAACCTTAAACTGTGGACGCCTGACTGCTAACAAACAGACAAACAGACCGATTACATGCTCTCTCCCTTTGGTGGAAGAAAAGGGACTGGATGTTGATCCTGGTGTTAAAAATAGGTGAAAATGGGAATTTTCACATGTTCCAACTTGTTTTGAGCAGCCACCCATCACACGTGGTGACACAATGCCTTAAAAAGTGCATTTTGGATAAAATTTAAGTTTTCTCAGAAAACAACACGATCAAAATTACATTAAAAAGCTCCAGATTTTAACCCAGCTCTACTTGATTCTCAGTTTTCAGCCTTTTTATAGGTTGTCTTTGTACCAGATATTATCATATATAAAGCTACTTTGGGCTGCTCCTTTATTCACAGCAGGTAGCTCCATACATGGCTGATGCAACCACTCTCTGAGCCAAATGAGGGACCTTTCACCTGTTAGGTGAATGTGTAAACTGCTCCAGATGTTATCGGATAACAGGCGTGAAATGACGTGTAAATCATCTCCTTTATTTAAATATTTTTTAGTCCCAGCTTTGTGGAAAATAATTCCATCCATGAGCGGAAAAACAGTCCACAGAGTCTGAGAGGCACGTGACAGTTTATTTTCACACTTTAAAGCAGCCAGTCAGTTAACCTAAAGCAAAGAGAAGCCCCGCCCACCTTTTAGCAGTCACACCGTGCAATTGGATGCTGTCGCCAACACTTGCTGCTGAGCGCGTCTGCGTCTACAGAGGCCCAAGTAGGTCAAACTAAAGATCAGGTTTGCATGCTAAACTTTGTTCTGGGTGAGAGGCGGGCATCAGGACAGGAAGTTACTTCAGAGGCGAGAAAGGACACGGCAACATGAGCTGGTTCCTCTGAGAGTCCAGATTGACGATGTTGTTTCTCACTGAAAGACACAGATTATCGATTATTGATTAATGTATGAGGGATTTTCGTCAGTGTGCGATGTCATTATGGGCGGAGTCTCACCTGCAGCCACCACTCTGGCATCATGGTGAGCTGTGTGTCGGATTTCAGCTCTATGGTCGGGGCTCTCAAACCACCAGAGGGCGTGAACTGATGAGATGCACACAGTGACATTGTCAACCACTCACAGTCCCATGATCACTCACACACAGTGACATCGTCACCTCAATACCTCTATTACCTCTATTTTGCAGTCCAAACTCGCAGTGGAAAACTCCTATCAGCTTGCCGTACCCAGGTGCATCATGGGCATTGATAGCGGCCTGAAAGGCCTTTCCCCAAACTGCTGGTCCACCAGGACGCATCTGGAAAGAAACCAGCTCGTACACACCTGAAACAAACAAACAAAACAGGTGAGTGTTGACCAGCTGGGGATGATGTCACTGACACGTGAAACACAGAGGGCGGGGCTTACCACCCTCCTGCAACGGACTTTGCAGGCGGCTCCAAGGAACCATATAGGTGACTTCGTTGTCCTGTGACGTCAGCATTGGTAAGGCCTTGGAGAGGTACTCTGACACCCAGGCGGGATCCTGAGCGAGCGTCGCCCTGACCTCTGCCCGCTGGGCGTAACTGTCTGAGGAGTGGGTAGGGACCCGTTACCTTTTAAAAGCCCCATGAAGAAGAAACACCTTCATATTGTCTGAGAGAAGAAGAAACAGGTCCTCACCATACTTCCATATGTGGAAGGCCTTGTTCAGGCCACCGTACTCAACGCTCCAGTAGCCAACCAGCTCGGAGTGGGCAGTGCGCAGGTGGATCTTCTCATTGGTCAGCTTGAGGAAGGCGGCATTCTGATCCGGGCGGATGCAGTAGGTGCGCAACTCATAGAAGGTTCTGTGTTTCTGCTGGGGACCGGAGCCGAAGTGCGCACGTGGCTGCAGAGACGAGGGAGGAGAGCAGAGGTCTCACTCTGACAGAAAAGAAGGAGCATGGAGTTCACCAATACTCAAAACACATCCTGGTTTCTGTTGTCCTAAAATCAACGTTTGTATGATACAGCAACAAGAACACACATGCCAATCAGCAAACAAAGAAACACATTTGGATCAAAAGGTCTGAATCATGGGCCAATGCTGCTCGGGCACGAGTCAGGGACCGATCGCCATTGGCTGGGTCACCTGAACGAGGACGTCTGATGTCACAGGACTGAAACACCGGATGACTTCCGGAAACATCACTAATGATGTGACTGCTGAATGAAGTGTACAGAAGTGTGTACAGGGCTATACTCCCTCATAAACTGACAGGATGAAGATTAACAGTGTGAATGGGTAATTTTATAATAAATAAGCAAATGAGTGTGTACCATCAGACTGTCCTTTATCTAAATAAAATTGGGGGTGAGGGTCATGAAATTATTTCTGCGTACCTAATATCACTAACTCCTCTGTGAGATGCTGTTTTTCAGCAGAACCACAACCAGAACTCATAAAGCATGTTTAAGGTAGCAGGAGGTCATTTGTTTTTTTTTTGTTTTTTTTTTAATTTGTCAGAGATGTTTCTTATTTAACCACTCCCCTTCTCCCGTGCCTTTTTGGGTCCCACATTCAAAAACTCAAAACAATCTGTATATAAGTCTGTATTGGGGGCATGTGAGCCCTTTAATCTGTGTTAGAGATATGACCAGTGTTAGAGGAACATCCAGAACCCAGCATGGGAGGACAGACACTGATAAAAATAAACACAAAACTGTCGTCACGAAAACGGTTTTAGTTGTATCCTGCTGCCACCTGCTGGGCTCTTTAAAACACTGTGTAACAGGGTCATGAATCACATTGTTATAATTACACAAAATGTGTCCTAAACCCCCAAACTGTTCCTTTTATACCTGACTTTTAGGACCTCCAAGCCTGTAGTTATGTTCATTATCAGTTAGAGCCCCTCCTTATTCTTTTCTTCTTCTTCTTTGGTGCAACCCTATAAATACAGTGTACCCCTTTTGCCTCTCCCCTTTTCTACAATTCCCCTGTGGGAGAGGTGGGTGTCATTTCTTTCCCAACACTGTAAAACGCTCATATAATGCATATTTAGCCACCTGGATGTTTCTGATTGTGATTTTAGTTCGATTATTGTCATTATTAAGCCTGTTTTTGTTAGATGTTATAAGTGTGTGTTGTGTGCCCACCTTATTACTAAATTAGGCAGAGCACTCTGAATTGAATCAGGACATAAAGCACGGTCTTTATCTTGCTTTATTGAATACTGTTCATCTAACAACTAGCCACTTAACGGGGCCTCCTTCGGACCACCACATCCGGTTCAAAGGTCATCACATTAAGATATAGCCATATCAATACATGACATCCCCCTTTTCCTTAGATTCAAACTTTAGTCTTAATAACTTTGATGTCTTTTTTTTTTTCTCTTCAACATTGAACATTTTTTTCTTGTCTTACTTTCTAACAATTATATTTTCTAACTGTCTCACCACA